CTGATCACTGATTGGCCGTCAACTGATCAGAAGCCAGTCCTACCAGCTCCCGATCATTACTAGAGACCAGCAGCTAAGGAGGAGCAAAGAACTGCCTGATCACATGATCACTGATTGGCTGTCAACTGATCAGAAGCCAATCTGCCAGCTCCCGATCATTACTAGAGACCAGGAGCTATCTACGACAGCTCCGATCAGAAACCAGTCCTGCCGGCTCCCGATCATTACTACAGACCAGGAGCTAAGGGGGAGCAAAGAACTGCCTGATCACTGATTGGCTGTCACCTTAGCAGAAGCCAGTCCTGCTGGCTCCCGATCATTACTAGAGACCAGGAGCTATCTATGACAGCTTGGATCAGAAGCCAGTCCTGACGGCTTCCGATGATTACTAGAGGCTAGGAGCTAAGGGGGAGCAAAGAACTGCCTGATCACTGATTGGCCGTCAACTGATCAGAAGCCAGTCCTACCAGCTCCCGCCGCTCCCGATCATTACTAGAGACCAGCAGCTAAGGAGGAGCAAAGAACTGCCTGATCACATGATCACTGATTGGCTGTCAACTGATCAGAAGCCAATCTGCCAGCTCCCGATCATTACTAGAGACCAGGAAATATCTACGACAGCTCTGATCAGAAGTCAGCCCTGCCGGCTCCTGATCATTACTGGAGACCAGGAGCTATCTACGACAGTTCGGGTCAAAAGTCAGCCCTGCCAGCTCCTGATCATTACTAGAGACCAGGAGCTATCTACGACAGCTTGGATCAGAAGTCAGCCCTGCCGGCTCCTGATCATTACTAGAGACCAGGAGCTATCTACGACAGCTCGGATCAGAAGTCAGCCCTGCCGGCTCCTGATCATTACTAGAGACCAGGAACAAAGGGGACGACAGCTTGGATCAGAAGTCAGCCCTGCCCTGCTCCTGATCATTACTAGAGACCAGGAACAATTACGACAGCTCGATCAGAAGTCAGCCCTGCCGGCTCCTGATCATTAGTACAGACCAGGAGCTATCTACGACAGCTCGATCACTGTGCTAGGAGCAGCCTCTCAGCACAGGAACCTCAGCCGCCCATTGGACGCATATGTGCGGCAAAGAGATTTAAAGCCCTCCCCTCCGTGCTGCCACACAGATGCATTATGTGGTGGACAACAGGTTGCGGTTTGTTTTAACGCTGCGGACGTGGAATCAGGATCCCTTCTCGGTTTCTGCACGTTAATTGGATGTCAGCCTCAAGAAATCTGCAGCCTTCACCAAACCGAAATAGACCAATACCTTCCTGAAGTCCTATGAGAAATGTAGATTCGGTCCCTGCAAAGAACCAGCACTGCAATAACCAGTCCCTGCCATGAAGCGATGCCGCCATTATGAACTCGCTGCCTGTAAGCAGTGCAGATATTCCAGCACATGGGAGAACCAAGTCCTCCAAGTATCAGAAGAGAGAAGCACTGGTTACCATGGTGATGTTATGGAGATCTGTCACTGCCACCCCACCATCAGATGCCGCTCTGCGCTCCCAAATATCCACGTTCCCAATATAGCCCAGCGGAATGAGTCATAGGCTTCCATTGCCTGGCAGGCTGGAGAGGATTCAGGACATCACCGGCATTTAAAGTGCTCCACGCCATATCTGGCAGTGCGGAGACAGTTACCATAGAAACAGCAGGACATGTACTAAAAGAAGTAATCTGAGACCGTCCTCCAATCGGGCGTCAGTCTCTGCTGCGTTCTGCTCGAAAACATAAATGCAAGATGGCCGCTAGCCACCTTGATATAGCCTAGCAGTACTAGGGTTGTAGGTTCGAATCCCAACCACAGCACCACCTGCCTGGAGTTTGCATGATCTCCCTGTGCGGGTTTCCTCCAGGGACTCCGGTTTCCTCCCACACTCCAAAGACATGCTGGTAGGTTAATTGGATCCTGTGTAAATAGTCCCTAGTATGTGTATGTATGAATGTGAGTTAGGGGCCTTAGATTGTACACCCCTTGAGGGTTAGGGACTGATGTGAATGTACAATATATATGTAAAGTGCTGAGTAAATTGACGGCGATATACAAGTACCTGAAATAAATAAATATAGAGGTCAGTGATCGCCGCTAGCTTCCGGGCCCCTTGCCAAGAGGTTGCCCTGATGCAATCTGAACACAGGAAGTCAGCTGTATGGCACAGGAGTCATTCACAGGAGGCTTTGTATCTCCTCAATAAATGTAAAGCTTTCTCTGATTGGACGGGGTGGAGAATATACCGCCACCACCTTGCCTCTCCATCTCATCCAACCAGGCTTTGCATTAACCACTTGCCTACCGGGCACCTATACCCCCTTCCTGCCCAGGCCAATTTTCAGCTTTCAGCGCTGTCGCACTTTGAATGACAATTACGCGGTCATGCAACATTGTACCCATATGAAAGTTTTATCATTTTTTTCACACAAATAGAGCTTTCTTTTGGTGGTATTTAATCACCACTGGGGGTTTTATTTTTTGCACTATAATTGAAAAAAAGGCAGAAAATTTAGAAAAAAAAAAAGTTCTTCTTTGTTTCTATTATTACATTTTGCAAACAGGTAATTTTTCTGCTTCAGTGATGTGCGTTGATGAGGCTGCACTGATAAGGGGCACTGATTGGCACTTTTGGGGCACCACTGATTATCAGTGTAGAGGAATCCTTTCACAGTTGCCGGTTGTCACATTGTGACAGTGTGAGGAAAGTACTGCCGATAACCGGCAAGTCTATTTACATGGTAATCAGCTGTGATTGGACACAGCTGATCAAGTGGTAAAAGGCCGCTGTGAATGGCCCTTTACCATGTCATATGATCAGCTGTGTCCAAAGGAGAGAGTGCTAGGTGCGTGCCGCTGGGAACATTCATAGGACGCCCCCCCAGAACTGGATGACCACGCTGTAGCTGTCATTCGACTATAGTGCAGTCAAGAAGTGGTTAAATGAGAAAATGCAAAGTGCTCTTTGATTGGATGAGATGGAGATCATGATCCGCTAATTCAAAATACTAACCACAGCTTACAAAGCCATCCACAACACTGCCCCTAGCTACATCGCCAACCCCATCCACAGATACCGCCCAAATCGCTCACTCCGCTCCTCCCATGATATCCTCCTCTCTAGCTCCCTCATCACCTCCTCCCACGCTCGCCTCCAGGGCTTCTCCAGAGCCTCTCCCACCCTCTGGAACTCCCTACCACAGTAGGTCCGGTCAGCCCCCACCCTGTCTGCCTTTAGGCGATCTTTGAATACTCAATTCTTCAGGGAAGCCTACCCCACCTCCACCTTAGAACTGTACTTGAATCACCTCCACCAGAACATCCCCTGCAGCTATCACCTTTTGTATCATCTCCCCCTTCCTTTAGATTGTAAGCTCCACGAGCCGGGCCCTCCTATTCCTTCTGTACTGAACTGTATTGTTGCTGCATTGTCCCCCTTATATTGTAAAGTGCTGAGCAAACTGTTGGCGCTATATAAATCCTGTATAATAATAATAATAATGATCCCACCACCTTGCCTCTCCATCTCATCTAACTAGACTTTGCTTTAAATGAGAAAATGCAAAGTGTTCTCTGATTGGACAGGGTGGAGATCAAGATGTCACCCCCTTGCCTCTTCACCTCATCCAATCAGACTTTGCATCAACCACTTTAAGACCGGTTTATGCACATGCACGTTGCCAGTTTAAAGTGGTTATACTGGATCAGTATATTATTTTTGCCTTCCCTATCCTGCACATTAACCCCTCATCTCCGTTCGCCCACAGTTTGTGACCTTTACATTAAAGTAGGGGCAGCACAGTGGCTAAATGGTTAGCACTTCCGCCTGGCAGTACTAGGGTCGTTGGTCCGAATCCCAGCCACGGCACCACCTGCCTGGAGTTTGCATGTTCTCCCTGTGCCTGCGTGGGTTTCCTCCCATTCCGGTTTCCTCCCACCCTCCAAAGACATGCTGGTATGTTAATTGGCTCCTGTCTAAATTGTCCCTAGTATGTGTATGTATGAATGTGAGTTAGGGACCTTAGATTGTACACCCCTTGAGGGTTAGGGACTGATGTGAATGTACAATATATATGTAAAGTGCTGTGTAAATCGACGGCGCTATATAAGTACCTGAAATAATAATAAAGTAGATCTATAACCAAAACTTTTTTCATTGTGGACAGAGTATTTATTTCAGGTACTTATATAGCGCCATCAATTTACGCAGCACTTTACATATATATTGTACATTCACATCAGTCCCTAACCCTCAAGGGGTGTACAATCTAAGGTCCCTAACTCACATTCATACATACACATACTGTTTAGACAGGAGCCAATTAACCTACCAGCATGTCTTTTGGAGTGTGGGGGGAAACTGGAGTACCCAGAGAAAACCCACGCAGGAACAGGGAGAACATACAAACTCTAGGCAGGTGGTGAGTAATTGAGCGTTATAATCCCTGACAGTTTATTTTTGCCATCTGTGTCCCATTGAGTAGATTTCCCTTCACTTCCTGTCCCATAGCCAAAACAGGAAGTAGGAGAAAATCCCTGCAAATGAAGGAAATCCCCCCCAGATCACCAGAACTAGTGTCCTCATTGGAAGATGTCCCCTCTGTTCAGCCCAAAATGTGGGATTTTCCTTTACTTTCAATGATAATGGTAAAAAATAAAAAAACAGGAGGGGGGAATCTCCCTACTGGGGGGGCACAGACCACCAAAAGAAAGCCCTAACTGCCTCTCCAAAATGATAGGGAACAGTGTAATTGTCAGTCAAACAATCTTGTTGCCGAAATCTGAATGGCCCGGTGATGAGGGGGTATTGCTGGCTGGTACTGAAGGGGTTAAGGCTGAACACTGTCACCAGAAGTGGATGTACAGAAGACTCGGACCGTATGTGAGTGAAGGAAAGGAAACAAGTAAAATTCAGCGATCAGTGTGCTGCTCACACCCGGCACTTCTACAGCCCTGTCAGTTAGTGGGGGGGGGGGGTTGAGTAAACAAAGCTGGGATCCTCACATTTGGAAGAGCGCCTCCCCAGGTTCTCATTGTCTACGGTGTCACACGTCCACTCCACCTTCTTGTCCGGCTTCCTCTTCCTAAGCTTCAGTGTCAGTGAGCGCGGCTCCTGCCAGAACAAAACCTGGAATCAGTGATCAGCAGAGCCACTACTATCACTCAGATGGGGTGTAAGGATATTGAGGGAGGGGTGTCAGTGGGGTGTACTAGCATTTGGGGGGGCACTGGGGAGCACTGGGATGGGGGGGGGGAGGGGTGGCGCTGGGGAGCACTGGGATGGGGGGGTGTCAGTGGGGAGCACTGGGATGGGGGGGTGTCAGTGGGGAGCACTGGGATGGGGGGGGTGTGTCAGTGGGGAGCACTGGGATGGGGGGGGGGGCGGTGTCAGTGGGGAGCACTGGGATGGGGGGGGGGGGTGTCAGTGGGGAGCACTGGGATGGGGGGGGGGGGGGGGTGTCAGTGGGGAGCACTGGGATGGGGGGGAGGGGAGGGGGAGTGTCAGTGGGGAGCACTGGGATGGGGGGGGGGGGGGGAGGGGAGTGTCAGTGGGGAGCACTGCGATGGGGGGGGGGGAGGGGAGTGTCAGTGGGGAGCACTGCGATGGGGGGGGAGGGGAGGGGGAGGGTGTCAGTGTCAGTGGGAGCACTGCGATGGGGGGGGGGAGGGGAGGGGGGTGAGTGTCAGTGGGGAGCACTGCGATGGGGGGGGGGGGGGGGAGTGTCAGTGGGGAGCACTGCGATGGGGGGGGGGGCAGTGTCAGTGGGGAGCACTGCGATGGGGGGGGGGCAGTGTCAGTGGGGAGCACTGCGATGGGGGGGGGGGGCAGTGTCAGTGGGGAGCACTGCGATGGGGGGGGGGGGGCAGTGTCAGTGGGGAGCACTGCGATGGGGGGGGGGTGGCAGTGGGGGGGGGGGGCAGTGTCAGTGGGGAGCACTGCGATGGGGGGGGGGGGCAGTGTCAGTGGGGAGCACTGCGATGGGGGGGGGGGCAGTGTCAGTGGGGAGCACTGCGATGGGGGGGGGGGGGCAGTGTCAGTGGGGAGCACTGCGATGGGGGGGGGGCAGTGTCAGTGGGGAGCACTGCGATGGGGGGGGGGCAGTGTCAGTGGGGAGCACTGCGATTGGGGGGGGCAGTGTCAGTGGGGAGCACTGCGATGGGGGGGGGCAGTGTCAGTGGGGAGCACTGCGATGGGGGGGGCAGTGTCAGTGGGGAGCACTGCGATGGGGGGGGCAGTGTCAGTGGGGAGCACTGCGATGGGGGGGGGCAGTGTCAGTGGGGAGCACTGCGATGGGGGGGGGCAGTGTCAGTGGGGAGCACTGCGATGGGGGGGGGGGCAGTGTCAGTGGGGAGCACTGCGATGGGGGGGGGGGGGTGTCAGTGGGGAGCACTGCGATGGGGGGGAGGGGGGTGTCAGTGGGGAGCACTGCGATGAGGGGGGGAGGGGGGTGTCAGTGGGGAGCACTGCGATGAGGGGGGAGGGGGGTGTCAGTGGGGAGCACTGCGATGAGGGGGGGGGGGTGTCAGTGGGGAGCACTGCGATGAGGGGGGGGGGGGGTGTCAGTGGGGAGCACTGCGATGAGGGGGGGGGGGGGGTGTCAGTGGGGAGCACTGCGATGAGGGGGAGGGGGGTGTCAGTGGGGAGCACTGCGATGAGGGGGAGGGGGGGGTGTCAGTGGGGAGCACTGCGATGAGGGGGAGGGGGGTGTCAGTGGGGAGCACTGCGATGAGGGGGAGGGGGGTGTCAGTGGGGAGCACTGCGATGAGGGGGGGAGGGGGGTGTCAGTGGGGAGCACTGCGATGAGGGGGAGGGGGTGTCAGTGGGGGCACTGCGATGAGGGGGGGGGGAGGCGGTGTCAGTGGGGAGCACTGCGATGAGGGGGGGGGGGTGTCAGTGGGGAGCACTGCGATGAGGGGGAGGGGGGGGGGGTGTCAGTGGGGAGCACTGCGATGAGGGGGAGGGGGGTGTCAGTGGGGGAGCACTGCGATGAGGGGGAGGGGGGTGTCAGTGGGGAGCACTGCGGTGGGGGGGAGGAGGGGGGTGTCAGTGGGGAGCACTGCGGTGGGGGGGAGGGGGGTGTCAGTGGGGAGCACTGCGGTGGGGGGGAGGGGGGGTGTCAGTGGGGAGCACTGCGGTGGGGGGGGAGGGGGGTGTCAGTGGGGAGCACTGCGGTGGGGGGGAGGGGGGTGTCAGTGGGGAGCACTGCGGTGGGGGGGGGGGGAGGGGGGTGTCAGTGGGGAGCACTGCGGTGGGGGGGAGGGGGGGGTGTCAGTGGGGAGCACTGCGGTGGGGGGGAGGGGGGTGTCAGTGGGGAGCACTGCGGTGGGGGGGGAGGGGGGTGGTCAGTGGGGAGCACTGCGGTGGGGGGGGGAGGGGGGGTGTCAGTGGGGTGCACTGGGGTGGGGGGGGGGGGGGGAAGGGGTGACAGTGGGATGTACTGGGATGGGGTGTACTGGGATGTTGGGAGGGGGTGGCAGTAGGGTGTAATGGGATGAGGGGGGGGAGGGATGACCCTGGGGTGTATTGGTATGTTGGGAGGGGGTGACAGTAGTGTATACTGGGATGGGGGGGTGCCAGTTGGGTGCACTGGGCCTGTAGGAAGGATGTAATAGGATGAATGGGGGGGGGGGTGTACTTAGGTGTACTTAGGGGGAGGGGTGTAGGTGTCATTAGGGTCCCGAATGACGTCACTCACCGGCTGGGCCTCGCTCTCAGTGGTCACCGTACTGGACGCGGCTCCTCCCCCCACCGCCGTCCCGGAGGATTCGGCCATGTCACGTGACGCTGCGCTCCCCCCGGGCCACAACACGCCACCCAGGAACCGTCCGCTCGCAGTCTGTGAGGATAGAGCGTCCAACCTGACACTTCCGGCGCTCTGCCCCGCCACTTCCGCCCGCCTCTATGATATAGCTGAAGACTTCCGGTCTATGGTAAATGTTTTTATAAAAACATGTTTTTATTGCTTATTCCTGACACAGAACATACAGTGCAAATTTAAAAACGGACCAACACTTATAACGAGTATTAAAAAAAATTGTAGAATTAATTCACTTCCGCCAAAAATAAAAATGGAGGATACTGTGATTTTTTTGGGGGGGGGGGAGTATTTCACTAATAAGAAATGTATTCGACAATCACGTACGTCATTCTTACTGTTTAACTCTTAAGTAACCATTGTAAGAGTAAACTGCTAACAAAGATACTATAGTTTACCGCTCATTTTCAAGTATTGGAGGAGCAACAAATGTCGTCAGTACTGCTTTAATAAATGTAATGTGTCAGCCATCTTTCCGAAGACAAGCACACAGGAATTGACAAGTTAGGCTTAGGAAAAATGTCCTCCCACAGAAGACACTTTGGGGATCTCCCACAGACGCTCTAGAGACCAATCAGCGACAAGTAGGATGGCCAATGACGAGTTCCCTGCTGCTCACGTGACAGTTCACGTCCACCAATCATTGCACCTCAGTCCTTTACCAGCCACATGTGTCCACTGTGTCGGTGAATTCGTTATGAGCTGACTGGAAGGCGGGGGAGGTGTAGGCGGTGGTGCGAAGAGGCTGCCGGGCGTTGTGACAGGGAGCGCGGGTGTTAGTTGCCATGGTAACGGCGTCCCAATAGTGATTTCCGGCGGAAGTGAAAGCGGGGAGGAGGAAGGGGGGGCGAGTAGAGAGAGGGGGAGGCAGAGGCTGCAGAGACCTGAGGCAGGGAAGGAAGAAGCTGAGAGTCACATGACTGCAGGGTAGGTGCTGTTGATGTCACTGACCGGCATGTTACGTCATCACCAGGTCCATGACACCACATGTGAGGCCATTCTGTGTGATGTGACGTCATCATCCCTCTGTGTGTGTGTCTGGAGTCCATCATCACCTGTCTGAGCTTCCTGAGCCCCCCATTGATGTGTGTGAGACTGGTGTCACCCCATGGAGGTGTCCCCAACATTGGTGTCTCCTAATATAATGGGCCTTTGATCTCAGGAGGTGTCCCTATCGTATGTAGCCGGTGTCCCCCAATACAATGGGCCCTTCTCAGGATGTGTTCCTGTTGTATGTAGCTGGTGTCCGCCAATATATTGGGCCCCTAATCTCAGGATGTGGCCCTGTCATTGTAGCCGGTATCCCCCAATATAATGGTCCCCTGATCTCAGAAGGTGTCCCCGTCGTATGTAGCCGCTGTCCCCCAATATAAAGGGGCCCCAGATCTCAGAAGGTGTCCTTGTTATTGTATGTAGCCGGTGTCCCTGAATATAATGGTCCTCTGATCTCAGGAGGTGGCCTCATCTTTGTATGCAGCTGGTGTCCCCCAATACAGTGGGCCCCTGATCTCAGGAGGTGGCTTCGTCTTTGTGTGTAGCTGGTGTCCCCCAATACAATGGGCCCCTGATCTCGGGAGGTTTTCCTGTTGTATGTAGCTGATGTGGCTCCATCATTGTATGTAGCCGGTGTCCCCCAATATAATGGGCCCCTGATCTCAGGAGGTGTCCCCGTAGTATGCAGCCGGTGTCCCCCAATATAAAGGAGCCCCTGACCTCAGGAGGTGTCCCTATCATTGTATGTATTCGGTATCTCCCAATATAATGGGCCCCTGATCTCAGGAGGTGTTCCTCTCATTGTATGTATCCAAGATCTCCCAATATAATGGGCCCCTGATCTCAGGAGGTGTTCCCGTCGTATGTATCTGGCATCTCCCAATATAATGGGCCCCTGATCTCAGGAGGTGTCCCCATAGTATGCAGCCGGTGTCCCCCAATATAAAGGAGCCCCTGACCTCAGGAGGTGTTCCTGTCATTGTATGTATCCGGTATCTCCCAATATAATGGGCCCCTGATCTCAGGAGGTGTTTCCCTGTCATTGTATGTATCCGGTATCTCCCAATATAATGGGCCCCTGATCTCAGGAGGTGTTCCTCTCATTGTATGTATCCGGTATCTCCCAATATAATGGGCCCCTGATCTCAGGAGGTGTTCCTGTCATTTTATGTATCCCTGGTATCTCTCCAATATAATGGGCCCCTGATCTCAGGAGGTGTTCCTCTCATTGTATGTATCCGGTATCTCCCAATATAATGGGCCCCTGATCTCAGGAGGTGTTCCTGTCATTGTATGTATCCGGTATCTCCCAATATAATGGGCCCCTGATCTCAGGAGGTGTTCCTCTCATTGTATGTATCCGGTATCTCCCAATATAATGGGCCCCTGATCTCAGGAGGTGTTCCTGTCATTGTATGTATCCGGTATCTCCCAATATAATGGGCCCCTGATCTCAGGAGGTGTTCCTGTCATTTTATGTATCCGGTATCTCCCAATATAATGGGCCCCTGATCTCAGGAGGTGTTCCCGTCGTATGTATCTGGCATCTCCCAATATAATGGGCCCCTGATCTCAGGAGGTGTCTGCTGCTATGATAATTATTAGTCTGGGTTGCATATGACGGGAGGGATGACACACGGGGACACGTGCACACATTGCTGAGACGTTCTGTAGACACTGTACAGTACTAGTTAGTGCAGCAAAGATAAACGTGTCACTATAAATGGATTGATCCCACAAACCATGGGGAGCACATAATCCCTACTAGGGATGTACACACATGCAGAGATATCTTGGTGGACTCTCTGCGACACCATTAATCTTTGGCTTCTCATTGGACTGCTTTATTCATCTTGGAATCCCTCCATACATACCATTATTGGCTTCATGATAACCCTCAATCATAGACCAGGGTGACACCAGTTTATTCCAGTGATGGGATTTCACTTTATCATCCTTTCATAAACTGCATCATCTGCACTATGGAAGCTTTAGAAGGGTCAGAGACTCACTCAGCTTTGTGAGCCTACTGACGTTCCACTATTCTTAACCCTTTAATGCATAGCACGGAACGTCTGAAACTTCCACATTGTGATGTCTGCCACCTGAGGTTCATTTCTAGAGTGCGGAGAGTGACTCTAGACCAGGGGTGGGCAAACCTTTTGACTTGAGGGCCGCAATGGGTTCATATATTGGACCCGGGGGCCGGACCAAGAGTAGATGAATGATGTGTATGTGTCATCCATAGTAAGTATAGTAATATTCCCCCATAGTAAGCATAGTAATTAACCCCCCATATAGTAATTCATCCCCCATATAGTAATTCATCCCCCATATAGTAATTCATCCCCCATATAGTAATTCATCCCCCATAGTAATTCATCCCCCATATAGTAATTCATCCCCCATATAGTAATTCATCCCCCATATAGTAATTCATCCCCCATATAGTAATTCATCCCCCATAGTAATTCATCCCCCATATAGTAATTCATCCCCCATATAGTAATTCATCCCCCCCCATAGTAATTCATCCCCCCCCATAGTAATTCATCCCCCCCCATAGTAATTCATCCCCCCCCATAGTAATTCATCCCCCATATAATAATTCATCCCCCATATAATAATTCATCCCCCATATAGTAATTCATCCCCCCTATAGTAATTCATCCCCCCTATAGTAATTCATCCCCCATAGTAATTCATCCCCCATATTAAGTCCCCAAGTCCCCCCTGTGTCAATTCACTTACCTTTGCTCCGCACGTTCCTCACGCCGTGTTCCCGCGCCGTTCCGGTCTTCAGGGCGGACTGTGAGAGGAGCCTAGCTCCCCTCACGTTTGTCACGCTGCCCCGCCTACACACATCCTGACAGTATCACGCTCCGCGGGCCTGATTAAAAGGTCCGCTGGGCCGTATGCTCTAGACCATGTAGTCAGGTGTTCCTAGTTCATGTTGGGCAGAAGCTGCTTTTTGTTCTAGAACAACTTGTTTTATGAATATTGATCCCCCATGATTGTCCGTTCTTTCAGATGATTATTCCTGGAACTCATCTGCCAGTATTTGGGATTTGTAATTGATCCCGGGTTGGGGTTCTGTTGAGGAAACTTTTATTATGTTTTATTCTATTAGAAAATGCAACTGATTTATGGATGATTTCTGAATCCTATGACTTTATTGTCAGTATAACATTGGACTTTGTCTTGTGTGTCCCTGGCTCTTTTGGACCAAGGGACGTATTTGTCCCATGTTTTTAATTGCGTGTATCATCTGATTAAGAACCTAAAACTTTTTTTTTTTTTTTTTTTTTTTTTTGTTTGAGTCAAAATATTAGTTTTTATCAACAAACAACAAATGGATCTAGCTTTTTGCCAATTATTTCATGAAATGGCTTAGTTACAGCAACTGAAGTGTACGAACTTTAAAAACAAAATAATTGATTCTTTCGGCGTTCCAAAATCTTACGCTCCTCAAAGGGTTAAAAGAAAAGTTTAGGGTGTCTTTCTTTCTTTTGAATCATACTTACCTAGGTGAACGCAGCATCGATCCAATGCTGTATCTGTCCCCGCCGGGTCTAAGGGTGAGGACCGAGCAATCAGACACAGCTAATAATAAAACACTGTGCAGCGCTAAAAAATATATATAACTTTTAAGGTGCCTTAACGATATATATGATGAAGTTCTTGGGTAAATGATTATAAAATATATATATAATATAGAGAGAGAGAAATGTTCCAAAAGTGACAATCGTGCTCTTCTATTTCAATGGTTTTTATTTTTTTAAACAATATAAAGCAGAGGCAATAAAACACGCCCACGCAGGGGCTATCAATTGCACAGATAAAAAAAAATGCAAAATAAAAAAAAGGAAAAAAAAAACAATGCTCTAACGCCAACAGGGCAAAAGGTACGCCCACGCAGGGGCTATCAATGGCACATAAGTTGCAAAACATTAATGTAACTGCCTATAACAACTAAATGCAGCTGTCCAGTCACACCAAAAACAGAGAGAGAAAAAGGAAGAAAGAAAAAATAAAAAAAGGGGGGGGGGGGGGGCAAAGAG